GAAGCCTATATCTTCAAGGTGGTGACAGGGATCGGCATGGTCCTCGGGGCCGGCCCCGCGACCCAATCATATATACGTGTAGAAATATTTTATACCTATATACACCATAACAATGTAGAATAAAACAAAAAAAAGACGAAATTTGTATTCAACATGATGTATACCCGGTGATAAATGGCGCTCACTAGACAGGTCCGCACCTGCAAGCATGTTACAACCTAGGTTCGCGCGGCATGTACAACAAGCTGACTGGAGCGTCTGATCTTGTCCGCATTCCGCCCCCAAAAAATCAGAAACACAAAAACAGACAGGATCTCAGTCTGCAAGGGCTATTGGACGCCCGCGCCAAAAGGTCGCCGGTAACAAAATGCAGAAACATAACAATGTCGAAGCCGTACCGAATCAGCCAGTGACCGGCATCCTCATGCTCAAGTGCTCCACACAACATGGCTAGCACAAGCGCAGCCTAATCCCACCGTGAAAACTCTAGAAATTTTGGGCAGCGGGCATGGTAAGAAACAGGAAAGCAGGAAACAAACACGTTCAAACCTGCTACAATATACATACATAGGACATCATAGGACTGCAACCCCTCCGAAGCCCAGTGTGACGTCTAGCAACAATTGTTTGAAAGGAACAAGTAGTTCCAGGTAGCCTGTCAGGGCGTCGTACTCCGCTGCTGCAATCTCAAAGTCCTGTGCGCACGGCTGCACTTAAGCAACGGAAAACATGGGAAACCTCTCAATAATTCAGCGACTGTCACGCACGTGTCAAATTGGAAGACCGGTCCTCTGTGTTGCACTCGGTCGCTGGCTCTTGCACAGGGACCGCGTACCTCAACAGGCGGTCAGACGAGTACGGTGCATGTTTGTCCGCTCCTGCTTGTGTTGACTGGAGCTCCAGCAGAGTGAAAATTCACAGGCATTAGACCCTTTCATGTCATCGCTGCTTTTGAACATGTCACCTAGCGATGCTGTAACATGCACACAGACCCCATATTTTCTGACTTAGTCCGGCGGGCAACAAAGGTTCGTCCTAGCACGCTTTCAGACAGACGGACAGACAGATAGACAGCCAACAAACACTTTCCCCGTGAAGCAACTTCCCTTCTCTCAGCCGCATTCAGCCGGTGTCCTGGATGTTTGATGGAGGTCAACTGATTGTTGAAGGACTTGTGCTGCTCACTTCGGCATTGCATGAAAGAGACTGAGCGACAAGGATGAAACTGAGATCCGCAGCTAAATTTGACACGTCATACTCTGTAGCCCTGCATGAGTTTAGCTGAAGGCAACGCGAGGTGAACCAGGGTCTTTTCTTTTTGCCAAGGCACGAAACAGCAGGCGGCCAACAGCCTGCTGTGTAGTACACGGTGTAAGACAGACCTGGAGGCTTAGTTCACGGGTTCAACACTGTAACCTCATACAACACTTAAAATGCAACGAAGCCAAGCTTGCCAAGTGCAATAAGCTCTAAGATTGCCTGCCTGATATTCCTGAGGCAATATGATAGCTTGCAAAGTTTCAGTGATCAATGATCCTTACTTTTGTTATCTGTCTTGCTGGTCCTTGGTTGGGTTGTCTGGGGCTCAGCCCACAGTGCTTGTGCAACTTGCAAGCACATGAAAACGGTTGCTGATTGATGATGATTGGTGAACTGATTTCCTAGGCTCGCAAGATGCCCCACTTCCTAGGCTCGCTTGCAATATTTCCACTAAATCACAAAGGATCTCGTTTTGTGGCGATACATGAGCGGCGTCTGCATGCTCTTGCTTCTTAGTTCTCGGTTCTCGGCCCATCTCATTGATGATCCTCGCGCCTGCCAGATGCCAGATGCAGCTCTGGAGGTGTATTCTTCTTTCGATGGGCTAGGCCTGTCCAAACCAGGTTGGCCCCATGTAGGCTTGCTGGACTTGGCAAGCTGGTCAATGAGTGAAGGCTACAGGATGATACAGGTAGTCAGGGGAGGTTGTTGATGATTGGTTGCTTGAGCGACTGCGTGCGGAATAATGTTGACTTCATATTAAGAACTACCCCCACATTTATAAAAATCCCGCCGCCGGAACACAATTATAACAACCACCACATTTACAAAATCCCAAAAATGTATGATTTTTACCGGGCCAACGATTTTAATTTGATTTCAAATAACTCTAAATAGGCGTTCAAACCTACGTTTTGGGCATTATTATTCCGGGGCTCCCCCAGAACGAAGATAGATCAATCGAAGGGGGGGGAGGGGGGGCGGGGAGGGGTTATTAATACGAAGTGAGCATTCGCGAGACATCAGGTCAACAAAGCTTGAGGCCTCTGTACATGAAATAAATGATGGGTACGGACGCTTCTGGATTTGGGGTGCACAGCTTCAACCAGAACTCCTACTGTGGAAAGACCCGTCACACATCTTGCCATGCTCACTCCTGCGGGCACTCGTTTCTGCAATCAAATCCTTCATGTTCATTGATCCTGTTGCATGCCCAGATCCAAGTACAGCATCTGGTGTCCTGGCCTAGTTCTGTCACATTGGTCGCATAGTCCAGATGGCAGATGGCCGAGAAGCAAACCTTGGCTGCAAGTTAAGCGGGATGAGCCATCTCCGGAGGCTCTTGAGGGCCAACCGGATTAGCAAATCAGCACGCCCAAGAAGGTCCAAACTGGGTCTGTCAAAGTTTGGTTGGTGGTGAAAAGAATGTAGCAATCGCACTCAACTCAGCAACAAGGGCCAACCATCCGGGTGGTATTGTCCTTGCCTGTTGACCCAGACTTTCTTGTGCCATGGTTAAGTCCTCTGTACTGATTGCGGAATCGGGAGAAAGCTTGTGGAGCGAGGAGGCCACTTCCCGTGTATTGTCGTAAGTAATGACAACATCAATTGTCTTAAAAGCAGCATTAAGAAGGCTGATCGCCAACTGTCCAAAGCTATGTACGCAACCATATACAGCAAGCACTGCAAACCATGAAAACATACACTCGAAGCGTCACGTCCTCAGATTTTCCCAGAAACAACGCAGCCTTCTCTGGACACTTGTCCAAATTCCTCTTCTTATTAGAGGTAAGACTATGGAAACGCAACGAATACAAGCGCAGGTCGCTGTGCAGGTTTCTTGTCTTGACAAGGCACAACGAAGACAGGCATGAGTCCGCACATGCAGAGCGGACATGTATTCCAAATTGTGTACGGGAGCTCCTGCGGCGACATGGGCTGTAAAGCCTTTGGTGCTTTCTAGTGCAAGGCTTGATCCACAGGACCCCGTGAAGGTCATGTCATGACTATCCATAGTCTCATTGCAGATGCAATTCTAGTTGCGCCAACAGTATATCAAACATGCCGTACAAAAGAAGCCAAAGATGGCCTGGCAAAAGGTTTGGCACGTATACGCATTCCTCGCAGGCGCAGGTTCCGTGACATCAAGTTTGGGAAGTTGATGGTCCCAGGGACTTCTGGTAGATTCCTTCAATCTTCGAGGGAAAAGGGTTAGAAATCGTCTGTACCGTTTGCCGTTCATCTGAGGTAAGTGATAGTGACCTGCAGTGAACGTTGTCATTCAGAAATACCCGGAAGCAATCTTCTGAGAGCACTTCATCACAGAGCTGACGAGGGCGTGTGAGATCATCCAATGTTCTCCAACCCCAGGCATATTTGCACCTTGCCAAGACTGACTTCACTGATCGAAGCAGCTGCCCCAAGAAAAACACTGCGTGAGGTTCCCTGTAACAATTTCCGAGGCAAAGTGACCCGCATGCACAGACGAGTGGCTCATCGAGCTTTGCCCGCAGCCGCCGTCGAGCCTGCAATCCCCAACTAGCAGTTTATCTAAACTCCCACAGCTTACTCAACCATAAAAACTAATTACACAACAAAGAAGCTTGAACAGGACACTGCTCCCGCTTGCAAGATGCCAAGTCTAGATATTCTCAAACACAAAGTAAGCCAAAGCAGGATGAACAAAGTTGCTTGCGGTATCACAATACTTCGGCGAATGAAGTCAGGCTGAATGTAAGGACCACACCTACACCAACACCAAGCTTAAGCCTGCAAACGTCAGACAGCCATGAGAGATGCCTCAGGGTGCATCGCCTGAGCGTTCCTGCGGGCCGCCAGTGGCCGGCGCGGGAGCCAGTGGCACCAGATTTGGTTCTTGAGTGTGGGGGAGGGGGGGGGGGGCGGGAAGGTCTGAGCTACAGAGCTTAGAGATGACCAGGCTGTGTTGCCTAGAAGCTTCTGAGACTTCAGCTCATGCTATGTCCTCTGTGAAAATTTGAGGGCCTGCGGTCATACAGAAAGTGTTCTGTCTCCCTCCGCTCATGTGGCAACTGGATCATTGCAAAGCATTTGGTTTTGCACAGCCTTGTCCTGAGCACGGCCCACTGTACATGCCGATACTTGCAGAGTCTACTCTAGGCATACAGAGAAAGTGTGATGGCCTGAAGGCTTGAAAGCCATGCCGGTCTCAGAGCAAGAAAGGTTTGCTCTTTAATAGGTCTCACTGCGATGAGCCTGGCAGCTTTCAATGAAAAACCGCGGACGAGAAACCAGCGGAGTACGATTCTGCAAATCCAACTGGTCATGATACCCGCAGGTGTGGTTGCCACCGAGCTGGCATCCGCAATCCAGGCCCCTTAAACTCGCAACAGCTCGTAACGTATCAGTGTAATTCTTGTGGTGTATGAGTCGATAACACAGCCGGACCTGGGATCCGATTTTGGTGTCACGCCCGGTCTGGAGTAAGAAATCTCTAGGCGCCTGCAGATCTGCGCACCAGCAGAAACACTTGTAAGACCTGTAACCAGAAGTATGCTAATCAGGATGAACCCTCATCTCGTCTTTCTTGATCTGCACGCGGTGATGATAAGAGCTGACTCAAGTCTGCTTCAACTGTACCTTACAGGATTACAGGGGCTTGAAAAACAGGAAATGACCCTCACAAGCGTTTAATTTGCGAAGCCTGAACTCTGAGCCGAGAGAAAAAGGCCGCTCCCAGCCGAGGCACGGCTTGGACGGTCTCAGCATACCGGTCGGTACCTTGCAAGGCCCAGTCTGCTCGCCCACATGCCAGTTGAGAAGCTGCCGAATTTTACCGATCCCATCGTTTGCGCTCTAGGACTGTCAAACCCACGCCCGCTCATCTAGCATTCCTACCTGGCGCATGCCATGAAATCATTGTTGTTCTGTTGGGCCTTCTCGAATGTTCAGCGAGCAAAGCTGTTGCATGGTTCTTAGCTGTAGTTGTGGGCAAGGGGCATCGCTTCTGTCCGGAGCGTATACTTCAGGCCGCTGGTGACCAGGGAGCCTTCATGGAGAAGATTCCTGGGCACATCATCATTCGCAGCTGTGAGCGTTGTAGTGAGTCGTCAGTCGTCAAACCTTGACAAGCTAAGCCAAGCTAAGCTTCTGTGTGAAGAGCAAGACAGAACCAGCCTTTGGCTGACACAGCAAAGGCTCCTGGTCGGGTTTGCAAGTATGCAAGTACGGCACAGTACGGCCTGCGATCTCCTTGGACAACCGCAACTGACCGCAGTCCATGGAAACGGTTCAAGGGCAGCACCAGCTCTGGGATTGCAAGCGTGCAGGGTTGACTTTACTTCTGATGGAGTCTGGTGGACGCTCATCCCTCTCCTAACAACTTTCATTTGCTCCCCGACACAACCACAGCACCTTTAACGGCGACTACTGCGCCATGAATTTTCTGCCTTGAAATAAAGCTCAGATTCCTGCAGTAGAGCAGAAGCACACTGGCTTCAGCTTTAGGTTCCTGCAGTACTTTTGATTGTATTTGCCTTGATTGTCCCCGGGCCTTTGGTCCCACCCCTCGCTCTCCAGGAAGAAAAGTGGTGGCGCCACCAGCGCTGTCCTCTTGTCGATGCCATCGGCAGAACTTCTGAAATTGGGCTTGAAGGGCTTCCGTTGATGTGTTTAATGACATCTCTCATGCCACCAAGTTTCTGGGACGTCATGGAGGTAAAGCTGTACCTGAATTGCATGCAGTACAGTGCACTGGGAACGCGCAGCACGTTAATCGAGACACTTTTCTGGATTGAACCTGCATGTGTTGCTTCCTTTGCTGCCCTCAACTTTGAATGCATGTTTGTCATGGTTGAGGGAACTTTCGCAGCATGAGGAGAAACCTGTCGTCTGTCTCCTTTGAAAAATAGACCTGCTCAAAAACATTACTGACCTTCCTTCCCGACACCTCTCGCGCATTCAGGATTAAATGTGAGAACTCTAATTCCGCGAAGCCGCAAATCCGAGCTGATACCAGGAGATTAAAAACCCATCTGTGACCACAAGGTTTGACTCTTCAACCGCTTCATCCAGACCAATCAGACCCAACTTGAGAAACTAAGGCAAAAATTGGTTAGGGGCCCGAAGCCTCAGATTCACATTTGATAACAATCTTTGGAACCATGCTTGCAAGTGAAAGACATCAAGGGTACTCTCATTCCAGTTGACCAGTGGCGTTACCGGATTATGGGACAGGAGATGCATGAGAGCCTGCTGTACTTGAAGCCTACAAGTTGGGGCTCTACTGTGGGACCGGGTACGCTACTCAAAGGGAACACGTGCTTCAAGACAGAGCATCCCAGATGCAGTGATCATGGAGGCGTCGCCAGCATTCGGGCTGCCGCGTGGGCGGACGAAACAGGCATCGTAGTGCGGGCCGAACTCCTTGCGTTGTCATGGCACCGCCTGACAACATCTGGAGCGGTGCATACCACTTCGTTGAAATTTGCAGGATTGTCGAATGAAGTCGTCACGATTCTACGTTGCTCTGACATAAGTCTGCTTGAGGAAGCTCTATGCGAAGATGAAAGGTCACCAGCTGGTCCTGCCTACTGCCACTGCCAACTTGGCCAAGAAAGGAAACAATCAAAGAATGTTTCCACGCCAAGAAAATTGAAAGACTTCAAGACTTGAAATATTTCGACACATCGGCTTCAGCAAATGACACAGGCTTGCAGCTAAGCACTGCATGATACTTTAAACATGTTCGATGACACAGACAAACCCCAGGCGCACATCAACATTGACCTTTAAAGCATCCATGGGCTCCACAGAAGCCTCCTACATCTGAAACCCCAAGGCATTGCACCCTGCCACTGAAACTTTTACTGTAAGACACCATGTCCTTCAAAACTTTGCTCTGAACACCCAAGCTCCTGCCCAGGTGTGTAGCACAGCACGCGGCAGCGCTCATTCAAGTCGACCAGAAAGCCCCCTGCTTTGTATGGCAAAGATATGCAAATGTGCGTGAGCGCAAGGCGGGAAAATGTATAAGATCAAGAGACAGTCTCGTCTCCGGATCTCCTTCCCCGAATCTACGTCATACCATGGCAGGGCGGTCCAGCACGCATCCACTTTCCGTTCCAGCGCGCATCCTGCAGGACGTTCCGGACCAGTCCGCATCCACTGGACGGTCAGGGCGCACACTGTTTTTTTTAAAAAAAATTAAGGGCTCAGGGGTTTAGCTTTTTAGGGTTTAAGGTTCAGGGCTCTGGTTTAATTGGGGCTCAGGGCTGAGGGCTTTGGTTTAATCGGGTGGGTTGAGGGTTTGGCTTCTTAAGCCTCGGGGCTGAGGGTTTTGGTCTAGGGTTTAGGGCTGAGGGTTAACGTTCAGGGTTTAGGGTTGTTCACTGCAGGGTTTAGGGACTCTTGGCTTAGGGTTTAAGGGGGCTTTGGGCTGCTTAGGGCTGTTTAGGGCTGTTTAGGGCTTGGGGCTTGGGTTCAAGGCTTTGGGTTAATTAGGGTTTAGGGTTGAGGCCCTTTGGGGTTTAGGGTTCGGGGCTTTGGTTTAGTTAGGGCTTACGGTCAACTTTGGTTTAGTTACGCTGTAGGGTTGAGGGTTTGGCTTGTTAGGGCTTCGGGTTGCGGGTTTGGTTTATACTAATTATTAATTGTATAACTAGGGTTCAGGTCGGGAGTTTTGAGCGACTTTTGGGCGGTTTTGTTTCTTGCTTTTGCCCTATACAATTTGTATCTATCTGGGCTTGAAGGTTTAGTTTAGGGTTTAAGGCTGTTTGGAGTTGTTTAGAGCCTTTTTTTGCACGCTTCTGTGGCACCTGCGTGAGTTGCAAAGGACTCTTAAGTCCAGGCGACGTCCCGCCAAGTTCGGTCGGCCACCAGCTACGCACTGTGCTGCTCAAGGAGCTTGTGCGCAATAAACGATTCCAGGACTGCAGTTCCATACAACCGCTCCACCTGCGAGTCACTAACGCTACTAAAGCCTTGCGACATCCAGGCCCTGATCCCTTCGTCGCTCAACATAAACTGAGGCCAATTCGGACTCTTGCACCCTTGCTACACAGTCGGTGTCATGCAGCCATTTATTTGCATCCTCTTGCACACCCTGCACATGGCCACTCTCAGTTCGGCTCCCCATGCATGGAATCCCACAGAGCCCAGTCGTCCCATTCCTGGGCATACTTCGCATCCAACATCTCCAGATTGGCCAGATCCGACTCGGCTTGGGTGGCCAGATCTTCTTCGTGAAGAGCTAGCTAGTTCGTGTTCCGACCTGGCCTTATCAAAATCATTTGTTGTCTTGGGGCTTCTGCTTGTATTTCCTGCTCATCCCTCACCCTCACATCAACTTCATCCAAGACCGGCTGCCCTTCCCCTTGCTCTGCATGTTGTAGTGCGACCCCCTGCGAATCCATGACCGTCTCCACGTCAGCCAGCGGCATCTGTTTCTACCTTGGCGCCCCGAATTGGACCTCTTCAACCACGATTGCTGGCAAGAGCTTCCGCCACCAGCGATCACACCACTGTCGGTCTTCTTCTGTTTCCGCACCATCTTGGCCATCATCCTGGTCTCCGTATGCCCGTACCGCTGCCTCCAGACAAGCCGCTTGCGAACCCATTGCGTGACGTCCTGCATGAGTGCCTTACCTCCGTCCAAGAAGGCCGCGAAGTAGCTGGGCTCTCACCTGTGCCCGAATCTTCGGCACGCGCGCGAGCTCATCCGTAAGGAAGTGCAACTCCAATCCATATGGTTTAGGGTTTAGGGCTCAGGGTTGTTCAAGGTTTGGGGTTTCGGGTTTGAGTTCAGGATCTGGTTTCATCAAGGTTTAGGGTTGAGAGCTTTGGTCAAATTAGGGTGTAGGGTTGAGGGTTTGGCTTTTTAGGGTTGAGGGTTGAGGGTTTTGGTTTAGGGTTTAGGGCTTAGGGTTCAGGGTTGCTTTGGTTTGTTGAAGATTTAGGGTTTATTGGCTTAGGGCTTAGAGTCTAGGGTTGGACCAAATGAATCTGAGCGACCATCACGCCTCAAACCTTCGACCACGCCCCCACAGGGCGTACACTCATCCCTAACGAGGGCGCGCGGAGTGCACGTCAGCGCACGCAAAACGTGCGTACAATGGACCGGGGTGTGGATGCACACTGGACCGGAAAGTGGGCGTACGCTCGACCCCGTCCCCTCATACCATCCACTTCAGACAAGTCATCGCCAGCAAATTGTTGTCTTGCTACTGGACTCATGCAGCTCTTGATAGTAGAACAACACAAATCATCACAACTCCACGTCAGAACATTGCTCGTACGCAGCTCAATCTCAAGTCTAGTCCAACCTGCAGGCCTGCAAATGTCCTGCCTTACTATTGAGATGCCCTCCACTTGATGAAACGCAGGTTTACAGCCATAGATCGGGCGCACCGTCCACGACCTCTGGGAGGTGCGGCCGGAGCACCTCCAAAAGGTAGTCGCTCAACTCCTCACAAGCATTCAGGCGGTGAAGCTGCTTACTGCCACTGCTTCTGTGAATGCCTTTCGCTTGTAGAACCAAGCTGAATGGACAGCACACGCGAAAACAATAGTCTTGTGTTTGCATGCTCACCGTTGTATGCAGCATCTTCACCCCACGTGCGAATTGACGGCATATCTTCCACTTCAGCTATATGTGGGAATTCAAGACTTTCCCCGCGAGCGCTCAGTATGATTGCTGTGCTCACCAGATGACATTCTTCGCCCGACATACTTCCTCCGCTGGCGCACGCCACGCTTCAAGCTTTCGTGCCGGGCGGAAGTACAAAAGAGTTCATAATGAAATCATGACATGATGACAAGCTCGCTTCCAATCCCACGGCAAGAATGATTTCACCCTGGTCAACCGAATTCAACCATTCATGGCCTTGCTGAGGGCACATTTAAGGGCAACTTCAGCGAACACCCTGTATTTGAGAAATTGGCATTAGCGAAAGTGGCGTTTCAGGCTCCAGCCTTGCTGTCGACGATGGCGCGGTGGCCATTTCGAATGTCTGGCTCAAAGCGCTGGCGCCCATTGCCTGACTCTGCGTCCCAACCCAGAAGCCAGGAAGTAAGCTGGAGAACGGATTCTTTCTTGACTAAAGTGACTAGACGCCCTTTTCACCGACCTGACACTCAGTGGAGGAGAACTCAACAGGACCTGCTTTCACCAGGCAAACTCAAAGACATAACGAAGCAAGGGTGGTTCGATCCGTTTCTCCCTTTCCTGCGGAGGTTATGTTTCAAGGGTCACTTTGAGCACCGCAGACAGCAGGCAGCATCGCACAACTCAACCTTCCAAGATTGCTCAACATCGTGATTCGTCTTAGTCTTGGCCAGATTTGATTCTCTTAGTTCAGCTCATTTGAAGTATGAGGCTGTTCTGTCCTTCAATGCGTTACAGATAGGAGCAAGCTTGAGAATCATGTAGTGGTGGGATGCAAGATTCTTCTCAAAAGAGATACGTTAGCTTGCGCCTCTGAATGCAGGACTCACATTTCCACGATCCTCTGCAGATATCCTGAAGTCCCGATCCACTCTGCAGCCAGATGGCCGATGTTCAGCAATGCCGGCGTGAATCCTGCACTCCAGGAACTTGAAACTGTGTAAACACAATCCGTTTGCAGCACCGTTTGTCACTGACTGGTGGAGGCCTAGGTGTTCTGTCTATTGGTGAACCCGCGACCTGAACTTCTTTCATGGATGGGGAAAAAATTTGAGGATGGTTTCGTTTTTGCAGCTAAGACTGATGAAAGCACTTGGGTTTTTTGCGATTTCGCACCATGAAACTACCGTTTAAAACAGCTCTTGTAAAACTAGGGGTCTCATTCATACCATCCTCGATAGTCAACCCGATGTGATAGCAGGCACTGCGGCACAGCTGCAAGAGGCCAAGCAATGTTCCACTATAGTCTCTCCAACTGCAGGCTTAATCTTGCAGAGCACCGGTCATTACTCGGCCACCGAGACACCTCGCCTTTCCGGTTTACGCAGCGCAGCAGGTCAGCGCAGTCAACCTGGCAATCAACCACAGATTAGCAGCTTCATGTTCAAAATCCCAAATTGGGAAAGCAGATAGCACGCGGCGCAACTTGCCTGGTGAAGACATGCTTCTGGAGCTCAAAACTATAGGAATAGTGGGCCGTGCACAGTATCATGCGCATAGTCACCCGTGCAAGGTCTTGACAATCCATAGTCGTTGTAATTCACGTGTGGATACCAATTCTCGCTGGCTGCGGGCATGGAGAAAGGTCAGAATTGTCGCCGCGTGCCTCATCCAGGACGCCAAAAACTACGCGAGCGAAAGTAGCTCCACTTTCTGAGACAGCCAAGTCCTGCGCCGAATGCCCGAGGCATGATTTGAAGTTCTGATGTCTGCAGTACCATACTGTAGCATATGGGGGGGTCTATGTTGGGACCCCTCATTTTTTGGAACCCCTCACACCAGCGTTCCCGCTGCAAGGTTTTGAATGGCTATCGCCCTCTCACTACAATCATCACTGTATGACAGCTGTCTCAATTGTCTGCATTTCCTGCTTTTACATTAATCTTCCGGACAGCCCCGCCTGGACCCACGTCTTTTCCCGCTGCTGTACAGGATCCTGTGCACTGTCTGAAGTCAGCCATCATGCTTGCTTCATGCATTGCAGTTGCGAATAAATGTTCGCACCCCTTTTCTTGCTCACAGTTAAGAAGACAGGCCATCAATCTGTTTTTGGAAACTAGCTGCAATGTCTGCATGCAGCTCTGAAGCGAACTGGTACTTTTCCTCCCGTATGCGCCAGATGACCGCGTGGGCATTCCTCTCCCGGATCCACTTCGCAACACCCTTCGGCAACGCACCACTGCCGCCTTCCAGCTTGCCAACAGCGCGCCGCCTGCGCGGTTCTGCAGCAGCGCTTTCAATCCAGCCGGCGTGATGTCATCTACCGTCTTGAACTTGCAATCCCTCAAAAAAGTCTCCACATCTTCGCAGGCCCTCTCCTCCATCTCCGCCTTCTTGGCCTGAAGCGCCTCCTCCCCATCTGCGGCGTAGCGCTGGCAAGCATCGACCAATTCCAAAGCGTTGAGGCCACCTGAACATGCGCGCCAAGACAAGCACGGGGCCTGGAGGACTGACAGCAGACAATGCAGCCAAGGGGCCAGCGTCCACGAATTGCTGCTAATCTTCCTGGTGCTCGTGAAGGGCCAGCAGCTTCTTCGCGTCCTCTTCAGTCAAGTCGCCCACCCAAATGTTTCGTTGGCGTAAACGGCTACTGGCATGGAAGGTGAGGGCCATGGCCCGCCGACGCCGAGGAGGCACAGACTGTCACCTCGGCCAGGCTCCGCTCTCGGACAACTTGCAAGACCTTACCGCAGCCTAGCAAAACACCGCAACTGAACCTTCGGGTCCCGGCGTGCGCCAGCGACCTGTCCGACGAGAAAGCCTTTGCGAAGCCGGAGATGAAGCCCATGCCTCGGAATCCAGCACAAGTAGCAAAGAGAAACTCTCCCAATGCCTCAAAGCCCCCCCCGCCTGCCTTGGTCGATCGCGGGATGTCAAGCATGTCAAGCACCAGGACGGGCGGCTTGCCGAGCTTGTCTCCGATCTTCCGAAAGACCGTCTCGAGCACCAGATCGTTGTCCAAATCCATGACTTCACAAAGCTTCTCCTCCCAGTCGTTTGCCCTTCACCCTGTGCACGTAGATGCCCTGCATGCCACGAAGCGCATCTTCCAGCGCCATGGTCTTGCCGCAGACGAAGCGCCCTGCAATGATCGTCGCATGCTCATCCCAGTGCAGGATTTGCTGCCGGATAGCATCCATGATGCCGCGCTTGGCCACTTCGGCCTCCATTTTCTGTGGCGAGAAGGGCTCCATCACGCGGTCCACCGCAGCTTGGATTCTGCCCTCTTTGGACTCACGCTGGGCTCTCTTGAATTCCCGCCTGCCGCGCAACGTGGCTTCTACAGAGACAATCACGCCAGAGACAGAAACAGCAGTCTTCCAAGACTGGAGCCACTCGAACAGACCCCGTGCTGGCAGCTTCGCTCGTGGTCTCTCCATGCGCCACGCAGTTCCCCCAAACAAAGTAACCTGGCTTGCAGCACGCATGCGGAGATCTATGCCGGCTCGTCAAAAACTCCCGGCCTTGGTGGCAAGCGGCGGGGCTCGACAGAGCGCAAGCACTCCAAGGCTTCATGACGCCATAGGCTTCGCCATGGTCTTACTATGATATTTGCTTTGCTATCAGTATTCAGGAGCTGGGCGGCTGACGCTGCCTGCTGAGAATTGCAAGATGCAGTGCTTTGACTGGCTTGACAACATTCGGACTTGAACGAACAAAGAAGGGGCTTCGTAAAACTGCTCAGATAAGTCGATTTCTGTCGTGCTTGCAATTTGAAATTCCGTCTGAAGGCTTGTATTGGAAGCAAGGGCCATGGTGAGCAAAACATCGCGACCATGACTGGGCAGGAAGAATGGGAAGGAAGAAAACGCCAGCACGCAGAACGTTAGCGTAGAAGGCAACATGCCACATGGTAAGCCAATCGAAGTTGCTATGAGGCTCCGAGACCTGTTGTGAAGATCAATGACCTACTCAAAGCTTGAGCTACCACAACAGGTGGCAGCACTGGACATATGATCTTCCCCCAGGAACCAGTCGCAAAAACGCTCATCTCCTGGTACCTGATTGCACCTCATGTTCCCTGCCCAGGATACAAGGATCGAGAAGGACGTGTCAGAGCTTCGCAGGTTCAAGCCCATGCGAACTTTTGCGAAGATGTGCAGATTACTGTATAGCTATATGGGCCATGGGCCTTGCGCATGTGTAACAATTCTCTAAGCAACTTGAGGTGATGTGTCGAATTAACACAGGACCATTGAATTATCAAACACTGTTGAGATGACACATCTGCAAGCACATATGCCGCCCTGCCTTCGTTTTCACGAAGCTTGGCGGTTCCCAGCACAATCCGATTCGGTCTGGGTCCTCGTGAAGGGTCTCTCGAGTTTGACCAGAGTGCTTTGCTTTCAGAACTTGTCCTGCGAGGCCGTAAAGGTCTGGCCATGTTTCCAACCTGAAGACTTCAGGAAAAAACAAGTTCCCAGAAGGCTTCTGGCTTCCGGCCTGGCTGAAGAAAAACGGCGGGCTCCAACGACTTCCCGGCCAGCATGAGCCCCTGACCAGTTGAAAGCACAATTGCAAGGACAACCTGGAGACTTTCTTATAATTACTCCTCAGATGACTCCGACACATCTAAATCGTCCAAAAACTGGTCAGCCCTGAGAACCTGAGCATCCAAGCAGATTCAAATCCTGTTTGTATCAACCCTTTTGAGCATCCACAGGTTGGAAAACTCTGACTTTGATTTGCAAAGATGGGGCCGCACATGCCAAACTGTATCCTCCCTGCAACAAAGGCTGATGCCTTCGCCAGCTTTCGGCTCTGCTCCGGGGTAGGTGGAGTCAGGGATGAAAAGTAGCCGCCTGCATCCTGGGGACATGCACATCTTGTTTCAGTCTTTTTCTTCATCAGCATAACTCAACACACCTTCTGTGGTTCCCTGAGATGACGCACCAGGAAGAGTCAACCCCAAGAAGGCCACGCCCCGTCCTTCCCCCGCCAGCCGAGGATGTCCCAAACTGCTTGCATGGCTGGCTTCTCTACGGGCTATGCGCTATACGTGAAAGCCCCAGCTGAGCTTTCACTCTGTCACTTGTGGTCCTTCTGATGCCGTCATCGGCAGGCTGCCCTCCAAACTGATAGTATCTGTATATATCTGTATCTTTAACTTTGCGATGGTACCCCATCCGAGGAATCTCAGTATCTCCGTTGATCAAAGCATGTACCACATATACAGTACCACCCAATGCACGCATTCGACCTCACTGAACTGGGGTAGGTCGCTGTACCCTTCACAATTAAAGCTGATGCTGCGAGCACGCGCCAGGAGGTGTGGGGCACCACGTAGCAGAGGAACTGCCCAGCCACAAACAATTTGAAGTCCAAATGGCCAACCCCAGAGCTTTCACCTCCAACCTAACCACAACAGCCTTTCATTGCGCACCCTCGTACGCCTGCTGCTCGCTTCTAGCAGAATCATGTGCAGTGAGACGGCCCTCTGATCCCCACACAACCAAAGTTTAGAGATGCAGCTGGCGTGGGCCTATCGCCTTGCTGCAGATCTAGAATTTGGTTCAAGTCATTCGCGTGTTGGCTTAGAAACGTGCGAAATCTTGGCTTTTCCGAGCTCCCGTTTCAAGTTTGTCCTGGCAGACCTGGGTGAGCCAGCTCACTCCCTTACTGCCTTTGGTTTGCATATGCTGGCACCACACTTCTGCCTGGCCCAGGCAACTGTATTCATGCTTGACTTGACCGCTGAGGGGGCTTGCAGGCACTTGTCATGAACCTCAGCCAGTGCCAAGACTGATACATTTTGACCACGCTTGCCTGGTCCTCTCCCCAAGAGGCCCAGTTGCTGGCAAGTGAAACCACACATCTGTTCTACACTGGGGTGATCCAGTGACGCCTCTGGCGGATACCAGTTCCATCTTCACGGGTCGGGCTGCCCGTGATTGGGTTGGCAACGCTTTTGCCTCCGTGCCTCGCACAGGCTACAAAAGCAAAAGCGATGAAGAAAGCTGAACGTTCAACGAAGCATGAGCCCTAAAGGCCCAGCCTAGACCCAAACCCGCGAGCTGAATCATTGCAAGCCTAGGCACCAACCATACGCAGACCTACGGCCCATGTGGCCCATATTCCGCGGCCCGAGTGCAAAAGCGGTATCTTCAAAAATGAGGGTTTCGCGGTGCATGCGAAGCCGCTGCAGTTTCCAGAGTGGTTTTCAGAGGCATGAAAAAAATACTTGTGCCAGCGGTCTTTTCAGAGCGCAGGGATGATGTGCCCACGGAACACAAACGATATTATGTTTTGGGCATATTTGGTCTGGCAACCGGTTGCTCTTGGAACACCAACGATGTTATGCTTTGGGCATGGATGCTCTGGTAATGGTATTCTCTTGGGGCCGAGAGACTGGGGCTGCTGCACAGCTTCTGCTGACTCATCCGCTTGCGTCGCCAGGTCAACACCCGGACTCAGGCGCGATATGGGCCATGGTCCAAATTACACATCCCAAATTAAACATCCAGTAGCTCTCCAGACGTGGAAACTTGAACCTCATTTGGGGCTGAGAGCTTTTTGCAGCTGCGCTTACCGTACAGGCTTACCTTTGAGCGCTGCGTCGAAGACTCGTGTGCGGGAACCCTTCAACTCACTCCTGACATCAAGCTTTACTTAACAGAATTGCAACCAATCGGACCTCTATAGCAACTGACGATGAATTGGAAAAGGATTCGCGCTGCAGAGGCCAATCTGGCTACTTGTCACATTGACATGAACATGTGAAAGTCATCCTCTGCAGCCGGAGTTAGATGGATGGGACATCAAGCCTCTGCAGCGTCACCCGCAGGGTCGCACGTTGACTCCAGCCTGCGTTGAAGCAGCGAGTACAATTACACACACCTTACATGGGGCATGCTCCATCTTGAGAAGTTGCTCGAGCACTCAAAAAACCCTGCAAGCCTGCTAGCAATCATCGCTTTGCGAGTTAAGGGCAAGCGGCCTATGATTGAAGCAGCCATGGGCTAATCAAGCCTTGCAAAAACTCGGTCATCGCTCCATGTCTGTCTTTGGGAACCACGCCGTATCTTGCCTCACTTGCCTCTGAACCGAATTTGCCATGCCAAAGGGGCTGCCACGCCTCGCACGATCGGAGGGCAAGCCTGACAAGAAGACGACTTCTGGCCACGCGATGGTCGGTGGCCCCTAAAACTCACCCCCCTTACCAGTGCTGCATGTGCAGAACCCCAATTGGAAGAGCTCGTGGCCTTCCCATCGGGCTCACTAGGGATACTAGGGGGGGTCTCAGGTCCATCGTAGTTGACACCCCTTTACCAACCCTAGATTCCTAGATGAACACAGGTGCCCACATGTGCCCACTGCGAACATTCGGGGGGGACGACGTTTGATGGTTGTTGGCGAGTAGCTTGCAGCAACCAGCGCACTAAATTCGAATACTCCATCACCATGCTATCTCTCACATGGAGGGTCCTAAGGTTCTTTTCTGCTTCTGACACCTTACATTCTTAGCAGAACTGCAGCTCTGCAAGACTCACACATAAGGCTAGGCAATTGAGTTACCCCCAATACCAAGGAAATAATGATTTCTCGCGGTCCGCCTTCCTGAACACCAAGGCATCAAATAGCGGCACAGTCTTTTGTCTTGACTTGGCTTTGACTTGTCTGGTCAATTTCACGGTACAGGCCGTCAAGTCAAAATCTTGGAAGTCGGAGCTGAAGTGGCCAGAAACCGCCCCGGGATGTGCTTGGGGCTTGGGGCTTACTGTAGCCTTCAGACCGTGGAGGCAAGCATGGCCCACTCGCTCAGATCTTCCTCGAAAGCTAAGTTCTCTGGGTGGCCACTACTACAGGAACAGCTAAAACAACACAAGTTAGGAAAGCATGGCCCCAAGGCCTCACAAATGATTGTCAACACTACATGTGCTGCAACAGTAGACGTAGCTGCAGTCTGCATGACGAGTCACAAGCCTAGAACGAGGTTCCAACTTTATCAAGAGGTGCATCTAATTGACT